ACCCTCTGACCCAGGAAGACGTACCCCAAAGAGATCAAAGAAAGAGGATAAGGACCCATATGTATAACAGTATCTCTAGCAGCTCTTTTTGTGGAGGCAAAGAATTGGAAACAGAGGGGACGCCTGTCCCTTGGTTGGGGAATGGCTGAACAAGCTGGGGTTTATGACAGTGATGGAATGCCGTCGGGCTGCCAGCAATGATGAAGGGAGTGGTTTCAGAGAAACCTGCGAAGGACCTACCAACTAGGACAAAGTGAGGTGAGCAGAACAAGCCTCTCCGAAAGGCTTAGGAACTCTGATCGACACTGACTCGTCACGATTCCAGAGGCCTGGCATCTGCCGGCTTCCTGATAGAGAAATGATGGACTCAGAGGACAGAATGAAGTGCGTGCGTGCGTTCTACGTGGCCAACACAGGATTTTGTTTTGTTGCTTTCTTAAAAGGGTGGGGAACGGCCAGGTGGGAGGGAGAGAAGCGAGAGCTGACAGGAAACTAAAAGTGACTTTTTCAAATGAAGAAGCAGATGGAGATGCCCCCTTGTGCCATCTGGGACGTGTGGGTGGTGCCCAGCAGCCACAGGTGTGCTCTGTCACCACACATGCGAGGCCGTGGCCACACAATGCTTCCGGTCCCTTACGCTTGTCTGCGAAGTCTGAACGCCTGCATTCTTCTGATAAGACTCTTGTGGCCGGTGCCAGAGCGTCCAAGCCTCTGAAAATGGAAGCTGACGATCCCCCAAGGGAGAAGCCCACGGTGGGAGACAGGGATGAGACTGAAGAAGTGGTGTGGGAGACATCAGAGGAGCAGAGGAGCAGAAGAAGGGTCAGGGACATAGCGTGAGCACCTGGGAGCTGCACAAATACCCGCACGGCATCCAGAGAATCAGAGGAAGGCACCATGACTGTGGTGGTTTGTAGAAGACAGGAGAATGGTGGGGGTGGGGGGTGCTGTGACACGCCTCACTGGGGCCTCTTCACTGACCCCTGGCGGGAGGAGAGCTGCACTGGGGAGTTTTGGAGTGGCGGGATGATTGTTACGGCGCCTACTAGGTGTTTTCATCTTTGGATGCAGGTGCTCCATCTCTCCAACTGGAGGAGAGACCTTGTAAAGGCAGGGACTATACTTATGCCTCTCTGTGTATCCCCAATCACAAATAACAGCAAGAAAACTGAAACTCAAGGGAAGAGAGAAAAGAGTAAGAAAAGAACTAATAACTTTAAAAAAGCTCAAATCTCCATAAGCAATATACTCCAGTGTACTGAAAGACCTTGAAAATGGTACCATCACAGGACCACTCTTTCTAATTTTTGTAAATTCACGGGGACCTATAAAAGTTTCAGAAAACTGCAGATAATTAAATGTTCCAATTTTCAAAAGGGGAAAAAAAGGCAGAAACTACAGACCAGCAAACGTGAACAGAAGTCAAATTCTAGAATGGAATATTAAATGATAAGTATTTAGAAATGTGAGCATTTAAGGGAAAAGAAAAAACCCAAAACTTTTGCTCTGTAGGAGCTCAAGTACAACTCAACTGACTTCCCTTAAAAAAAACAACCCAGGTCACTAGACCAGGAGATGAGAAGAATCAAAGAGAAATGGAATCTTGCCCTCCACGACGTGTGGCAGGCTCACCAGTCCTATGATGAAGGATCAGCTGAGGTGACCTCTGGCCTTCTTGAAGGGTATGCCAGTGGGCGCACTGTGGGGAGTTCTGGCAACATCTACTGCCAGTCCTTCTGGCTGGAAAGGCTTTGAGACTAGCTCTGTGAAGAGACAGGCATGTTTTCCAAGGACCAAACTTAGTCCCAATCAGAGCCCTCAGTAGGCTGGCTACGTGATAATAATTTTTTTTTTTGTCCACAGCAACCCACGAAACAAAGAAAAATGTTAACACGGCCTTCAGTCCTCTGCATCCCTGTTCTCTGATGATGGCAGTAGAGCTGGGGGAAAGAATCACAGTTCTTAGACATTCACCAAACTTTAACTGGACTGCTGGATCTCTAAATGTGGGATCCTTGCCCAAAGACCAATGAGTCTACACACTAGTGCTGCAGGAGCTGACTCCTCTCAATCTGGGCATTCTTGCCATCCACAAAACCAGAAGACGGAAGTCACAATTAAATGAAAGGCTGGCTCACAGGTATTCTTTCAAAAGGCAAAGGAGCTGGTGAAATAGGTTTTATTCTATGCCTAAAAGCTATAACAAATATTCCAGGGGACATCTGCTCATTATATATTGCAGTACTAATGGAAAGTATTTGCGAAAAAGACCAGCATGAAAACAACTGCACCAACATTGGTTGTGAAGGACCGTGTTACATTTTATGTAAAATTGGTGGTTGTCATTCAGTTGTTTTTCACTCGTGTCCGACTCTCCGTGACCCCATTTGGGGTTTTCTTGGCAGAGATACTGGAGTGGTTTGCCATTTCCTTTTCCAGCTCATTTTACAGATGAGGAACTGAGGCAAACAGGGTGAAGTGACTTGCCCAGGGTCACACAGCTAGTAAGTGTCTGAGGCTGGATCTGAACTCAGGAAGATGAATCCAGGCCTGGCACTCTATCCACTGCACCACCCAGCTACCCAGAAAACTTGGTAAGAACTTCCAAATCAAATCAAGATATGCTCTGATACTTGGTGACTTAAAATGAAAAGGTAGGAAGAAACATAGGAAAATGTAGTTCAAGAGAAAGAAATAAGGAAGTCCAAAAATTTGTAGATTATACAGAAGCCTCACGTCTCTCTATCATGAACACTTTCTTCAAAAACAGACTTGGTAGATGCCAGAAGTGGAAAGCACTAAACACCACCAGGAATGATGAAACTGACTACATAATAAGAAAGACTTATTATGGATAGCAGGGTTATCCCCGAGCCAACCATCTGTGCACAGCGACACCATCAACATGTTAGAGCTAAGATCAGAATTTGTACTAAACAAGAAAAGATGGTAATTAAATATGTATGTGTGTGTATGTCTGCATGCATTGTATATCGCTATAGCATCCAATGAGAATATAACCCTAAGTTATTTACACAAGCTACTGATGAATTTTTAAATTGGGAAACGGACAACAGAAAGGCCATTACCAGTGACTACGATAATTTAATCCAGAAATTAGGCCAATGCAAATTAATCATCATCAGGGGTACAAAAGAACCAAGTAAACTCTGCAGTCGGCAAACACCGATTGTCTGCCAAAGGCAACGAGAGGTTAGACCATAAATTCCTCTGTAAAGTCTTCTGTGGAAGCACCAAGGACAACTATGAGCAGACAGGGGCAGGGAAAGTGGGGTCTGACTGCAGGCGCCTCAAGCAGGTTCAAGGTTTTACAAAAAACCGCAACAGGCACTTGTGAACCATAAAAGCCAATTAAAAACCACTTTAGGAATCAAGCATCAAAAGTGCCCAATCCAAGAACAAAAAGCATATAAAATACAATTCCAGCTGCCAGATCGGGACCTTGAGAAAGCAGCCAGAGCTCTGCACAGAGTGTGGCGGCCTCTTCCCTCCTCCACGTTAACCACGTGCAGTCCAAGCTCCCACAAGCACAAAGGCGTTGGAGCAGTCGGGGCAGCAGCCGGCCCCCTCGGCTTGGCCAGCATCAACCTCAACGCCCACCCCAGCGATGTAAATGGGTGAGCAAAGGTGAAAACTGACAGAGGATCACCAACGGAAGAAAAAAGGGACAGGGTTGAGCCGTTTCCTCCCCCAAGGTGAGGGGAACCACCCCACTCAGACCCCACTATCACAATTGCTGACATGATGCCTGGGGAAAAGGAAATGGCACCAAGGAGAACGAGAACAAGCTGGAAAAGCAGCTAGGCTGGATCCAGGCACGCAGAGGAGGCCTGTGCTGAGAGGATACCGGTGTGAGGACACCCAGGGACCAAAGCACAAGGCGCCAACGACATCCCAGATCTGAGGGACGCCAAAGGGCTCAGACCCAAAGTGATGCCAGCCTAACACACACCCCTCCCAAGATCAAAATATGTTACAAGGGTCTCCCACACTTTTGATTACACACTCATGCCCTCTCACAAACCTATGCTTTCACTCTCACATACCCACACATTTTCACACACACTTACACACCCACACATACCCATGTTTACATACTCTCACACACCCACTTTCACCCTTGCTTACACACCCACTCTTACACAACAATGCTTAAACACCGTCACACACACTCTCACACCCATACCCTCTCAAACACCTATGCTTACACACTTTCATACATTCACACACCCATGCTTACACACCGACCCCCCCCAACACACACACACTTACACGCCTCCCTCCCTTTGTTGAGGATGTGGACAAGAGGTGTACTGGACAGTGTGTGACTTGTGATGTTGGAGAGAACTCCCAGGCCAGCTGAGTCTCTGAGAGAAAAAGACCCCCAGGGGTTCACCGAGACGAGAGGGGCAGAGGGACTTCCATCTAGCATCAAATCCCAGCTCTTGTGACTCTAAATCTAAGGCTTTAGGAGAGAAGTTTTTCTTCCGAGGGAGTTGAAAGGGACGGACGATACTGCATAAAATCAGCAAAATTCTTTGGTCTAAGATGAAAGCAGGGCAGCTAGGAGGCACAGTGGATAGCATACTGGACCTGGAGCAAGGAGGACCTGACACTAGCTGTGTGACCCTGGACGAGTCACTTCATCCTGCTTGCCTCAATTTCCACATTTGTAAAATGAGCTGGAGAAGGAAATGGCAAACTGCTCTTGTATCTTTGCCAAGAAAACCCCAAATGGGGTCACAAAGAGTCAGACGCGACTGAAAAAAGACTGAACAACAACAAAGATGAAAGTATCACAACGACTGATCCAGGAACTAGAGCCTATTCAGGAGAGAAAAGGACACAAACCAAACCCCAGTGAAAACGCCCATGACAGCCTCGGGCCAGACGCCCCAAGAGACACTGTCTCTCAACAAGCTTCTGGCTCCCCTGAGGAGGGCGTGGCCGGGACCTGCCCCGCCGACACCAGCACATACCTTCTTGCGGCTCCTGCGGCTCCTGCTTTGCTTTCTTAGCCAGCAACTTCTTCTCTTTAAACTTCTGACTGGAAAGGAAAAGAGAAACCCTCTGTGGGTCACTGGTGTCTTAAAAACTTGTTAAGTCTTTCAGAAAGCAGGACCCCGCGCCTGCTCTTTCCATGCGGAACCTCAGAAACAAGATCACACACACAGGAGGAGCTTCCCAAGATGCCCTGGGGCAGGACGAGGCGCCTCGGGGGCCCTGGCCTGGCTTCAGTCACACAGCCACCGCGGGAGGGTGCCCCGGCCTCCACTTTCCTTGTCCTCTTAGAATTAGGTAAAACCTGGGGTCCCTGACTATTTTTAAGTATGGAGAGTCTTTAGGCTCTGAAGCATTTAAGACTTGCCTGCTACTGACCAGAGTGTGCATTTTAAAAACACAACAAGAAGAGAATACAGAAATAAGCGTGCATGAGCGAGAGTAAACGCACTGACTGTTCAATCAATCATCTGGAATACTGCTTCCCAAATTAATAAAGGTATAGAACAATTGGGACTCTGCCTGCATCAACAGACTCAGAGGTCTGGGGACAGAAAATCAGCACAATGCCTGACACACAGTCAGCTTAACAGATGACATTTATGTCAATCAACCAACATTTCTTAAGCACCTACTACGCGCCAGACACTGAGCTTCATGCTGGGGACACAGAACGAGGCAAAAGCCAGTCCCTGCCCTCAAGGAGCTTACAATCCAAGGGGGGAGGCAACATGCAAACAGATATGTACAAACAAGCTCTATCCAGGATAAGTAGGAAATAATTAACAGAGAAGGCCCTAGAATGAAGAGGGGTTGGGAAAGGCTTCCGTAGAAGGTGGGACTTCAACTGGACTTAGAGGAAGCCGGGGGGGGGGGGGTAGTAGTCAGACGTGAGGTTGGGGAGCATTCCAGGCATGGGGGACAGCCAGAGGGGATGCCTGGAGTCCAGAGATGGAGGGTCCCATTTGTGGAACAGCCATGGAATCAGTCACTGGATCCAAGGGTACATGTTAGAGAGTAGGGCATAAGAGACTGGGAAGGGAGAAGGGGCCAGGTTATGAGGGGCTTGGAATGCCAAGCAGAGGATTTTGTATGTGATCCCAGGGGCAATAGGGAGCCACCAAAGTTTACTGAGTAGGGGACTGACACCTTGAACAGAGGATGGCCCGGAGTGGGGACAGAGCGGAGGCAGAGGAGTCTGTGCTTTACCGTTACAAAGCATTTTACACATATCATTTCCTTTGCTGCTCATGATAACTCCGAGAGGAAATGGGTAAGTAGCCTCCTCACTTAACAGATAAGGAAACTGAGGCTCAGAGAGACGCGTCACTTGCCCAAGTTTCCCCAGATATCAGGTTGCAGGCTGGCACTCTGACCCATGATCCTTCCCCAGCCCCACGGCAGCCGTTAGACTGAGAAACACCCCAGGGAGGACAGAGTTTAGAGAGATTGTGGGGAAGAAGAAATTTAGCTCATTTTCATGCTGAGAAATTGCTGCATGTATTAAGAGTTCTCACACAGCCTACAATTTAATATATTAGAGGGGAAAATAATCTCTACAGCATTGAGATTTTTCTCCAGGAATACCATTCACATCAAGCAGAATACTGGGAGTTCCACAGCCAAGTTAAGAAAATGCTAACCCAGAATGTCCGGCTGCTTTCTGACCCCAAAAGCCAGGATCTGGTCTGGATTCCACTCACTCTCGAGATCTCCCAACCCTGACTGAGATACTTCTGGTCCCTTTAGTCGGCTAAGGCCTCATTTTTAATCACAAGAAAGGATGCACTCACTCCCTGAAGACGATTACTGTCTGACTTACTGCCAGAGTGACCTTGGACCAGTCACCTCCCCTTGAGGGGCCTCCAGGAGCCACCTCAACAATTCTTTGCTTCCCGGCCCTAAGCCCAGCATCCGATGGGACGTCTCTTACCGCTTCTTCCGACGTTTCGCGGTCTGCTCCTCTGCCGCCATTTTATTCCTCTGCAGTCTCTCCTGGAACTCGGCATCCATTTTTTGCTGCAAAGAAAACGTCACTTTAGAAACATCCTCATGTGTAGGCAGCAGCCGGGCATGCTGTGGTGACTGACACAGGCCCCTCCTCACCACTGCCCTGGGAGCTAGTGGTGCATGGATTATTACCACCCCCATTTTACAGATTTGGAAACTGAGGCTCAGGGAGGAAGAGGCACTTGCCCAGAGTCAGAAAACAAGCACAGATCAGAAGCAGAATTCAAACTGAGGTGCTCTGACTCCAAACCCAGTTCTAACATGATGCCTTTTCAAGTGGTATTGGGGACTCATACAAGAGGCAGCTTTGGGGGCCAAGGTCTTTTCTTAAGGTGAACTAATTCTTTCAAGTCACTAGAACTCTATTTGGTAGATGATTACTTCCTGGTAGCAAGGTCACTTGGTGGATAGAGCACTGGACTCAGGAAGACCTGAGTTCAAATCCTGCCTTAGACTCTTATAGTAAATCACTTAACCTCTGCTTCAATTTCCTAATCTGTAAAATGGGAATAATAATAGCACCTACTTTGCAGGGTGGTTGTGTGAACCAAATGAGGTTAACATGTGAGTGCTATGTAAACACTAGCTATTATTAACAAATGTGTAAAAAAAAATACAAAGGGGAAAATGAACCAGAGGGACCAAGGGCAGGGCCTGGGGAGTCCCTCTAGGCTGGCTCAGAGGTGAGCAGGAGGAGACTGCCTGGGGTCCCATTTCGGAAAGGACGCTCCCGGCCATGCTGGCTGAGAATCTCTAACCCAAAGGCCAGGGGGTGGAGGAAGGCCGAGGATGGGCACAAAGGGAATGTGGCCTGTGACGTGCAATGACATGCGTGTACCAAGATAGCCCTGGTGGGCCCGAAGGACGCAGACTGATATCATGGGTGACTGATCATTCCAGCATGACACATGTGACACCCCTTCAGCCACTCTGCAGCGCCTCCGTCTGTGCCTCTGCACTGGCCTCTGGCCCTGGAAGGCTTTCCCTCCTGACCACCGCTGCCTCTTAGAACCCCTGGTTTCCTTCCAGGTTCAGCTCAAAGGTCGCCTTCTGCATGGAGTTTTCCCTAATGGCCCCCACCTCTAGCACACACCCACAATCACTGTAATCTCTCCATATATGTGCCTCTTGCATCCCCAAATAGAAATGAGTTCCTAGAGCACAAGATGCCTGCCCGCCATCTGCCTCTGTTTATCCAACTCACGGCAGAGTAATGGACACACAGCAGGTGTTTGATGGGTGTTTGCTTGAGGGTGGCACTGCCGTCCACAAATACAAAAAGGTCTCCAGCACACAGAACAGGGTCTTCCAGAAAAAACTGAGGGAAAGTCCCAGAGAATTTCCCAGGATGGAGAGGAATGAAGTAGGGGGTATACCCAGAGAGCCAAGATCACAAATCCACCTATGTTAACCCTTAACTCCAGCTCTAGCTAAGGAATAATTAGTAAGAAGGCCCAAGGGCTCTCCAGCTGGAACGGTTACCACCCAAAGGCCTACTCACCCTGGGATCTCTCTGCTGGGCCCACCCCACTTTTCCCACTCATGAAGATTCCCCCTGGAGCCTCCGTTTTGTGGAGAGCTTGCCTTCATTCCCCTCCATGACCCATTCCTGACTTTCTAGACTTCAAAACCATGGCTCTACTCAATGTATGGACTCATTAACTTGGTTACAAGCAATTATAGGAATCCCTGATGCCCAGCACAGTACTTGGCACACAGTAATCATGGAATAAATGCTTCATTCATTCATTAAAAAAAAAAAAAAGAAATGCTTCCACTGATTTCTCCTCTCCTCATCACCCTCGCTCCCCCCCAGCTTCTGGGGCCTTCCTATCCTGGACTGCCCACCAGGCCTGGAATATCCCTCCACACGGCCCCTCCCCTTCACCCACTGGTGACTCCTCCTGGAGCCCCTGACGTTGGGCAGGCCCAGCCAGACTGTCTTCACACCCCTCCTGGACCTGCTTCTCACTCTGGGCTTCACAACCATGACCTTCACGCCCCCATTCTCCTGCTCGTCAGCTCCTCCTCTCTTGGAATGTAAGTCCCTTGAGGGCAGGGGCTGTCCTTCTTTTTGCTTGGCACTGAGGAAGGGATTAATAAATACTTGTTTCCTTCGTCAGGAGTAATTTACCCAGAGACAGTGTTACTCAGAACCTGTTCTTTCCATAACTGGCTCCAGTTAGCTTCCTCACTCCTGCCTCCCCTCAACATGACATCTCATGTGCCCCCCACGGGCAGGTCACACCAAACCCTTCTCTGTTATTTTTAGAGAGCTGTTCCTAATTATGCTCCCCAGGGCCAAGCAAACAAGGCTAATCCCTCTTTCTTAGGACGGCCCCTCAGATATTGACAAGAGGCATGATCCCTCCCACCCTCATTCAAGCTCCAGCTTCTCCAGCTGGTCAGTGTGTTTCCCAAGATGTGACACCTCGAATTACTTGACCAACCTTCTCAGCCATGGCGTCCATGAAGTCTTGTCTCTGATACTCTCTGCGCCGAAGATGCCTGTAGACATGAAATTCCCCACTGCCGGCACCAGCGCTCGAACCTACGGGAATTTGGAAACATTCAGGCACATTGCTGAAACCAAGCCATCAACGCTCACAGACTGGCAGAGGGGAAGAAGATGGGAGAGGAGACACTGGAGATGTAGAAGAGTACTCCAGCAGGCCAGATAAAAAGTGATAAAGGCCTGAATGAGGACAGAGGAAGGAAAAGTCTCAAGAGATGTGGGCAACTGACTGGCTGTGGGGGATGAAGGGGAGAGAAAGCAGAAAAGAAACTGGATGATTGCAAAATGATGGTGTTCTCATTACAGGTCTAAGCAACATCCAACATCAATATTATCAATTGGTATTGATCACCAGCAACGAGACAGCAAGCAGTAGCCTTGGGGAGGAAAGACTGGGCTAGAACCCTGACCATGACACTCACTGGTTGTGATTCCAAGCGGGTCGTCTCTCTGGGCCTCAACCAGACCAACCCCCACATTTTTGGAGAAAAAAGCAAACAAACACAGGAGGCAAAGGAGGATAATTATGCCTGCAATATTTACATCATGAGATTGTTGGGAGGAAAGGGCTTTGGAGACTCCAGTGCACTACAGAAATATGAACCCCTGGAATTGTCTCCCACATCTCATTTTATGAGCAGTTTGGGGTCAAGAAGCATCAAAGCAAGGGGCTGCTAGGTGGCGCAGTGGATAGAGCACCAGCCCTGAAGTCAGGAGGACCTGAGTTCAAATCTGACCTCAGACCAAACACTTGACACATACTAGCTATGTGACCTTGGGCAAGTCACTTAATCCCGACTGCCTCACTTAAAAAAATAAAAAAAGCATCAAAGCAATCGTCATATTCAGGGGACTGGGTGTGAAGGCAGAGGCCCTGCCTTCAAGAAGCTTCGATATCTTAGTGAGAGTTACAGTTCACATTTACATAGTGCTTTAAACAACTCTGTGTAGGAGGAGCTGCTATCATCTCCATTTTACAGATGATTTTACAGCTATTATCATCCCAATTTTACATTTATTGAGGCTGAGAAACATTAACTGACTTGGTCAGGGTCACAGAACAAGAAAATGTCTGAGGGAGAACTGGAACCCAGTTCCGCCTGACTCCTCCAAGTTCAACCCTGCTATGCACTGTACCAGTGGCATCAAACTCAAATAGGAACAGGGGCCACTAACCTGTACATAAAGATCCCTACGGGCTGCCTGCTGACTTAGAAAACCCTATACCTGTCTTCTTTTGTGTTTTTGTTCCTCTTGTTCAATATTTCCCAAGTACATTTTAATCTGGCTCTGGGGCACGTGTGTGTTTGGCACCTCTGCACGAGGCCACGCCTTTCTGGCTCTCTCCTCTGGCAACACCGGGATCTGGGGGGTCAAGGTGGAGATGGGGCTGAAGGCCTCACCAATCATGCAAACTGCCTCCAGTAGTAGGATGAGACATGTACATCAACACAGGAACAAATGGTAACTCTAAGGTCTTTACACACACACACACACACACACCCACACACACACACCCAAATTCATTACCCATTACATCTCTGACAAATTCAGGAGGGGGTCTTGGAGCCCATTCGTTTATCTTCTCTGGAATAGGAACAGTTTTGTCCTGCAATGTTAAAACATGGCACCAGATCAGCCATTTGCTGTGTATACAATCCCAAGCACTGCTTGACATTTGCCTAGAACGTTTAAAAACAAAAAAGGTGTTTACAACTCATTTGCTTCGCTCCTCGGAGTCCAGGACCCCCCTTCCCCATTAAGGTCCCCCGAATCTGGCCGCTTGGAGCCTCCCCCCACCGCGGTAAAGCCCTGACTATGCTCAGGCCCACCCCAGCAGCCTCGAGGGCTTTCCTTAGCAACACGTCATGGTAGCGTCCTGAGAGACCACAGAGGCCATGTGATTTCTCAGGCTCCTAGACTTAGAAATGGAAAAAGCCACAGAAAGTTTATTTGACCCAGCCCTGCCATTTCACAGGTGAGAAAACTGAGGCTCAGAGGTCGGGTGACTTGTCCACGGTTACTGGGTGTCACGTGGGGAACCCCCCAGCCTTTCCCAGTGCACACCTGACCTCCGACCTTACTCCTGCAGGGCAGAGCCTCCCTCTCTGACCCCGGACTCCCACCCGGGCCCCCCAAAGGCCTTGTCTGGCTACGTCACGTCTGCGCATATTCACTATCACCCCGAAAACCGCGCCGATCCCACAAACGGGATCACGGGCAACTCCTGCTCCGGGGCCTGGCCCCCGAAGGATGGCTACCCCGCCAAGAGAAGCCTCCCCTAGTCCCAGGACAGTCAAGGAGGCACCGGCGCTCCCTGGGCCTCAGTTTCCCGCTCTGTCAAGACGGACACGCCCGGCCCCCGTCTCGCCTCCCCTCACCGGGTTCTTCATGAGCCGCTCCAGCTTGAGCCGCTGCTCCTCGGCTGCGTTCTTGGGGATGACGAGCGGCTGCGGCTCCTTTTTGGGCCGCGGTGCCCTCACCGACGACGAAGCCGAGCTCGCCATGGCTGGCCCTGTCCACTTCCGCCCTTGCGGCCCGCGGCTGGGGCGCCCGCGCGCAGTGATGACGTCAGCTGGCGTGCCACCACCCCCTTCCTTCCGTACGTGCCCCCGGCGCGTTCACGTGTCCTAGCAACCAGAAGGTCCTTACTTGAACCCCACCACACACCGCCAGGAGGAATTTCATTGGCTGGGCAGGAAGGGTAGGCGGGGCCAGGTTTGTCCAACCAGACTGACGACTACAGAGCCCGCCCCCTCCAGCCTTTGTGGTTGGTCGGTAGATCTGTCTGTCTCCGGGCTCTAGCAGAGCCCAAGCTGAAGCTAGGGAGCCAGAAACTGGAGAAAATCAGGCCACCTGGGTTCCTATAGTTTCAGTGCCGTTTCTTTAAAAAAAAATTTTTTTAAAGGAAAACCGCTAGATGGCGCAGAGCGTAGAGCGTTAGATCTGGAGCCTGGAAGCCCAGAGTTCAAATTCAGCCTCAGACACTTATAACTCTGTGACCGTGGGCAAGTCACTTAAGTAAGTCAATAAACATTTATAGGCAAAAGACAGTTTGTTAAGCGCCTACTATCTGCCAGGCTAAGGGTAAGGAATACAAAGAGGGACAAAAGACAGTTTATTAAGCACCTACTATGTGCCAGGCACTGGGCTAAGCACCAAGGATACAAAAAAAGGCAGAACACAATCCCTGTCCTCAAGAGGCTTACATTCTAATGGGGGACGACAATACATAAAAACATAAAAGGAAGCTCAGGGTGTGGGGAGATAAGTTGAATAAGAAATAAAGAGATGGATGGTAAATGGAGGTTCTGGGAGAAGCCCTCCCCCATCCAATCAGAGTGAGGGCCACCAGGGAAGGCAACCTTTGCCTGTCCCCCATCAGTAAAAGGGGTATTATGGTACTGCCTGCCTGCCAGGGTTGTTGTCAGGATATGGAGATGACATTTGTCAAGAGCTTTGGGAACCTTCAAGCACTATATAAATACTGGTTATTATTATCCTAAGTCTTCATATTCCCAGCACCTAATGGAGTACGTGACACAGATTAGGCACTTAAATAAATTCTTGTTGAAACTTGCACCTGGGAGAAGAATCGAGAAAATGCACCTTCCTTACGGAATGTTTCGTCCGTCATCAGACAACATAAATGTTTTGGACCGCTTTTTTTTTTTTTCCTCTTCTTCTTTTAACAACTTTGTTACATGGGAAATTGTTACAATGGGAATTAGGAAGGGAGAGGGACAGATTTGGAAATAAATATAATGTAAAAAATAAAAGATATCTGTAGCCTGGGCTGGCTGCACATTGGCAGTGAATTTCTCTAGATGAAGCGACTTCCCCCCAACCTGCCTTTATGCTGGCAAATCTGAGGGGCTTTCCCAGATTGGGGGCTGGTGCTGGGGGTGGCCATGCTGTTACAATTCAGAGGTAACTGATTTGTGTGAGAAGATACATATCTATACTCACAGTTCTAGCTCCTGAGCCACCACCAGCGTGCTCCCTATTTACACAAAATCCATCATGATGATACCATTAACTCTTTAACATGAAACATTTACTAAACAAGACGGCAGCTGAAGTGCAGTGGCAAAGTCCACAGTGAAGCATGGCTGGGATGGGCCCTTCCTAAAAACAGAGGAATTCACCAAGGGGAGAATTTTAGAATCCTTCGTTTCCTGGAAAACTCAACTCATGCCCCTTCCTACAGGGGGCCTTCTTTGATTTCCCCAGCTACTAGTGCTTGTGCCTCCCAACCCCCCTACTCCCACTCCCCCCCCCAAATAAACCCTTGTTTTTATTTTGTTTAATTTACTATAACTGTAACTATAACTCAGCCCAGTTAGACTCTTCTCATTTTCTGTACTTTCCTTCTCTGACTGTGTTCTAGGCCTGGAATGTCTTACTTCTCCACCCCACACTCTGCCTCATCCAATAAAGGGCACCTCAAATGCCACTCCCTCCGGAAAAGATGCTCCCAGTTAGCACATTCCCCACCTTACATCTTGCTTGGCAGCTTGGTGGTACAATGGATAGAAGGCAGTCTGGTGAAACCTGTGGATCCCCTCTCAGAATAATGCTTTTAAATGAACGAAATACAATTATCATTTTTTTAAGTTCATAGACACCAGTTCCTAAATGGTCTCATGCTAAGAGAATGATGCCACTTCCCACAGTTACTGTCTCTGCAGGAGGGTGGCAAACTCCCAAGGCTCAGTAGGGCAGTCGAGGAGTAGCCCCGAGGGAGCTCCTGGACCACATCAAAGGACTGTGGAAGACCAAGCCAAGAAACAATGAAGTCCAGTCATTGGCCTGAAGGTCTTAAGTAAGAAGAACACTGAATTTCATTGCAAGGCTCATAGTACTAAGGCATAAAACCTGGGTTTGCTGGGGATTAATTCTCTTTCCCACTGGCACAAGTCTATGGGAAATTGTGGTCATTTGTGCATGGGGGCTGAGGACAATCCTACTGCTTGAATTTTCCCTTCCTTGTTTTCCTATTCGATCTCAATTTAGTGTTTTGCTGTTTTGTCTTATGGTTCCTGCTTGGTCTCTTTGCAGAGTAAGCAAATGGATAGAGGCTTGAACTGTATTTACCTCCATACTGAGCCCAAGTGACTTGTGATTTCCAGAGTTGAGTGAGATAAATACGTTCAAATTGTTTTGACTACCCTTTCATGTTCCGGTTCAGTTCTGAGCCCAGCTCATTTTTCTTTTTAGTGCCTGTCCAAGATTCATATCCTGATGAACTAACTCAGAAACCTGGCCTTGCAACTTCATGTCTAGTCTGGACAAGAGGCACTTTTCATTCATTTAGATTTTCATGAATGAGTAGCTTGGCTGACCTTTCAGGAAATCATGGAGCTCATCTGAGGAGTCACTATAATGTTGAGGCTTGGCAATCAGCCCAACAGCATCCAGAATAGAACGAGCTGGAGGACTTCATCATTCCCCAAGCGCCCCCTTTTCCTTTGGGGTCCCACCAATGCTTTCCATGCATCCAAGATGACCCTTGGCCCCAAATCCCATCATTTAAACTCCAATGTTCTCCCATTAATGCTGCAGAACTTACAATCCTGGAACACCATGACTCTGAAGAATCAAAGTTGGGGATGACCCAAAGGGCAATGGAGAGGTAGACAGTGGATATAAGTAGGTTGTAACATATTTCTAGCAAGTGACTTGCTCAAGGTCATACAAAGAGTAAGTAGCCAAATCGGTATTTAAATCCAGGTCTTCAAATGATAAATCCAGTCCATCTGCTTAAAGCTGATGCCTGGTGCTGGGGGGCTGGGGTTGAGAGGTAAAAGGAGACCATATCCTTTTGCCAGTCTGTGCCCACTAACCCAGCGTAGCATCCAAGGATCACAGCAGATGGTGGCTCAATGCCATTGAGATGTAATGCTTCTCTTTGAAGGGTACCAGGAAGTCTCCTCTGATACTTCCAAATGTTTTTTCCCCCACTGCATGACACAGTGCTTGACATTGAACTCCACCATTACTGATTCTTTTTTTTTTCCACCTTAAAGGTTTTTCCTCCCCAAGAGAGCTTTCTGGAAAGGCAAATATCCCTTGGATGAAGAAGCTGTCTTGGATTGGCTGGTAGGTTATAAAGTATCACCTTAGCAGAGTCAGAGTCAATAAACATTTATTAAGCACCTACTATGTGCCAGGCACTGTGCTAAGCGCTGGAGATACAAAGAAAGACATAAATCATTCCTTGACCTCAGGGAGCTTCCAATCTAACGAGAAGACACATAGAAAATAAGCTGAAAAGGGGAGGAGGATGATGAAGTCCCTCAGCCAGGGTGGGAAATGACCAGAGACTGGGATCCTAGATCTAAAGGTGGAAAGGCCAGAGAGTCCAATCCCTCTAGTTTACAGGGGAGGAAACTGAGGCTAACGAGGTGAAATGAGCTGTGAACCCAGATCTTCTCCCTCTAGAGCTTGTGCGGTTTTTCATCGTCCCCTGCTGGAGAATAGGACACAGGACAGGAGGTACTGGTGGGAGTAGAGGAAGGTGAAGGACAGGAATAGAAAGGATCCCCCATAAAACTGGGTGAGGACAGCACAGTTTTGATGAGGGTCTGCTATGGTGTTTCATCCTGGCTCAGGAGGAGGGCAGCGCTTCCGGCCCTGGGTCTGGGCTACTCTGCCTCTCTCTGCCGGCAGGAGGGGCCCTTTTCATCTCTCAGGCTCTGTCTACTGCATGAGGGGTCTGACATCTGATTATCACACAGACCTTCCTCTCCACTTCCCCAAGAAGCTAAAAGAATGAGAGGAATGCAGGATAGACAGAGCATTAGACTGGGCATCTGGAAACCTGGGTTTGAATCCCAGCTTTGCCCCTTGCTAGCTAGATGACTCTAGGGTGAGTCCCTTCACGTCTCTGATGCTCAGGCTCCTCTCTGGGAAAGGAAGTGGTTGGATGAGATGATCTCTAAGGCGCCTGTGATCTCTGACACTGAGATTTCACGAGGGCTCCTGCCATGTTGAGGAGAAAGAGACAGACAAGAATTGCGCCAGGTGAAGTGTCCTGCAGGGGTTGGAGTTGGCTCTGAGAAAATCACAGATCTGCAAAGCATCCAGTGAGACCTGGCTTCCCACTGTCCTCCCCCGCCCCACCTCCAGCCACAGACTTTGGGCGCTGACTGTGATATCAGAATTAGAGGCAAAAAATTTTCAGTCCCTGCTTTCCTGCACTGCCTCCATCAGTGAGGCAGTTGAGTGGGGAGGGTTCTGGGGAGAGGGTATCTCCTCACCATCAGGGCCACCCCCTTCACGCTGGGCTGGGTCACCCATTCCCAAACAGCCCAAGTTGAGGAGGCAGCCTGTGAATATCAGGGCCAGCTGAGGGATGCCTGACACTGACATGGGGGAAGTGAAATTGACATAGGCCACCCTCCTTCCAGGGGAGGGAGTTTCCCCAGAGCGGGATGAAGGAGGGGAGGGGATGGAGGAAAAAGAAAGTGAAAACTGCATTCTCCTTTTCAGCTCCCTCTCCTTGTACCCTGGTTCCATCCTCCTC